GCATGACGCATCTGCACTGTAACTCGAGGTCCATGCGAATATAGCAAACACATCAAGAGGCTAGTCGCGCCAATTAGAACAGAGCATCAAAAGTACTAAGGGGCATTTTAAGCACGAAACTTCCTGGACTGAGGCCACTTCTCGGCAGGTCCATGTGTGCCGTTGTTACTGCGACCAACAGCACATTTGACCATCTTCTTTGCTCTTCTGACTCAGAATCCTAGTCTTTAGTTTTTTTGTCTTATACAAGTGGAACTCTGTGAATCGTTTTCGTGTCTTATTATACAAGGCCAGGGCACTCGATACAATAGCGAGAAAGTGAGCACATGTTTTGAGATAAAAACGCATTCTTTTAAGATCCCATTTATAATCAAACACCTGTGAGCAAGACAGAAGTAAACACACATTTTTGAGAGTTTATGACATCGACTTTTCGAGGCCTATTAGTCTTATTGGCAACATAATGGACTAGTTGGGCTATGTTGCAAGATTGCCGTAGCTAGATCATGGCATGTAAACAACACAAAACATTTTGTCGTTAAATTTAAAGAATTTTGGCCCGGATAAATTCAAAGATTGGTTCAAACTCACTCTGGAAAGCGGTGCTAGTAGTCGTAGCAAGACGGATGGTAGCTTGACTGTTATCTAATGAAATCGGAGTCGGCCGAGATGGGGAAGTGTCCGGCGATCCAGGAGATAGTGCTTTATTGTCACAAATAAGGGTGGCAAGACGTGAACAAGGGGAAGCACCCATTCGAGTTGCATGGTTGGTACGGTATGTACGAGACCCAGAAGTGCGCCAATTCTCATAGGTGTGTGGTCCGCTCCTCCCTTCGACCAAATCAGGAGTCTCTGAATCAGTCGATTTTTCAACGGAGACGGCGAGACAGCGCGATCTCAAAACAGAAGACGATATGGCAAGGCGACTAAGCGAAGCTGAGGTTGCAAGAAATCCTGCATCCCCGCTGCTATCAGATGTTCGGGAAACCTTCGATCCACTCCCTTGGGTTGAATAGTAAGAGGCTTTGCTGGTGATTGTATAGCAGGGTAGAGGAAGAGATGAGAGATCGTGAACGCGAAGAAAATTCTTAGGTGCAAGGCCTTCGACGCCATCAATGAGACTGCGAACCTGTTAAGAGAATGTAATTCACGGATGCAAAAATTGGGATGTTCAATGCAAAGGGCAGAGCGAATGAGAATAATGAAGCGAATGCAAACCAAGAAGTAAAGAAAATACAAGAGCTTAACCTTGAGCCAGTTATCACCATCCCCACCGCCGAGAAGGACCACTGTCTCATTAACAACGAGGTCCAATTCATCAGGTCGTTGTGCACGAAATTCGAAGAGCACTGTTGCACGCTGAAGACGACCATGCTCCGACCAAATAGACTCTAAATCTTCATCATCTTGATCCTTAGCTTGCTCTCCTTCTCCATCGTTATCTCCATCATGCTCATTTATCCCAGGGATACGCACATCGTCATCAGCATCATCATCTTCCTCACCATTTGACCCAATTTTAGCCAACTGATCGGTTCTGCGTTCTGGAGACATAACATCTCCTTTTCCGCTAGGCATGCAGGTCGTCGTTAGATCACAACCGGTATGAGGTCGAGTTGGGTCTAGAGAGTTAATAGCATTGCCAACGGCCTCAGATTTAAAAAGGTCATTGTGGGGTACGTTGTTGTCTAAAATCACAATTGAGAATAGAATAAAGTAGTAAAAATTCTTTGAATCGTAGCAAATAAAGTAGTAAAATAAATAAGGTCATGTTAAAAATGCTACTTCAGTGCAGATAGATGCACTGAGAGTCTTCCGTGATCTAAATGTTCATTGAGAATGTGCTCGGCTTCGCACTACTGTATAGAGTAAACCGGCCCTCTATAGAGCAATAAACGTTACAGGCAAGAATCAGAATGAAAAGGCGAGGGTGGCTGAATGTGGTGTTGGGGCAAGAGAACAAGGTTAGGTTACATAGGGTCACAACAGCAAGAGGGCAGCGGCAGAGAACAGTCCCTAGTCTAAGGAGTTTCTGGCTTAAAACACTATTGTGTACTTTTACCGCCATGTTCTGATTAGTTCAACAGGGATGCTCGATTAATACTCGCAGCACAGTGCAGATGGCTTATGCTTTGAGTGGTGTTGCGTGTGTTAAGATATAGACTATTTACGAACTAGGTGTGACGAGAGATGTGACAAAATTGACTGTGAAGTAGGTCACTGCAAGGCCAATTATGGGTCAAACGTTAATTTATTAAGGGTTTCTTGGAATCCCAGCTTCCTTTCATATCATCGGTTATTAATATAAAAGCTGAAACTGATATGATAGTTGATGACGTCTAATGATCTTATTCTAATAAAACTCCTAAAGCAATTTAACTAAAGCCTCTTGTCTGAGGAATTAAATATCAATAAGGAAAGAATATTAAGTCCCCTTTAGTCTGATTTGTATATAAAGATCCTATCTAAAGATTAATATATAAGTTAAGTATTCGATATTCTAAAATAGAAGCATAAGCTTCAGTGAATCGATTACAAATGTTATTTGATTATTGAAGATATGAAGATATGATTATGTCCAGCTTTATAGAAGCGCATGTGAAGTGCCATGCATCAGAAAGCTGTAGCAAAAAGAACTTCTCCCATTAATTTGACAAATTAAATGCTTAAATTAAAAAAATATAGGGATAAGAACTTAGACCAACGCTATATCATGCAAGATAATCCAAGTGCATACCCAAAAATGTGAAGAGTACTTGCTATACATCATTATAATTACTAACAGACGGCATAAAATCACCTCATTTACCGTATCTATGCTATATTTCTTTAAGACGTTCTTTCAAGAGGCACAATGAAAGAAAATTAAAGATAAAGGAGGCACCAAGGAAGCAAATGTTTCCTATGCCAATTGAGAATAGGATGAAATACAGATATGTGCTTCGTCAGTCTATCTGGAGCAGTCAAGATAATTTGCACAAGCAGAGTGATAATATTCCCTCACGTAAAAGCTACATAAAAGCAAAGATGATTTATGACTAAAAATATTTAGTCAATAGCACAATGACACTTTATTATAAGTAGAAAAGCAAATACCCTCGGGGCAGCAGGATAGCTAAAACAATCAACAGCCAACATAAATTTCTCAGATGTATTCACCTTATTTGGTTAAGGTGATGAAGGACTGCCAGTTGGATTCTTCCAGAACGATATGATTAGACCTCACGCTTCCATTAAATTTCACATAGCCCTGCCTCCTAAAAGATATTCTAATCAAGGAATGACTGCCGTTTCGACTACGTCTTGGTCTTCTCAGCTCCCCCAAAAGGACTCGAATCGGGACAGTGCAACAAATAATCTTGACACGCTAAACAATATGCCATAATGCCACAAGGGCTGTCGAGTAAGAATGCAGATATGAATTTCAAGGAGGGCCAGGTATTTTCCCATATCACATTCTCTGTTGAGACCGTCGATGAAGCAAAGTTGTATTTGCCATAACAATCAAATAGATCACTTATTGTATTGGCTCGACCACGTTTTCGCAACTTGGTCGGAGCGTCAGAGACTTTGTTGAACGCACCGAGTCCTGTGCTATGCCTTAGTATTATGATTCCCAGCATCAGACCATTGACTTGGTACATTCCCAAACGTAGTCGAGATTGTCAGTGATTAATGAACCTAGCAATAAGAACTATTTATTTAACGTTCAACGGCCGCCTACGGAATCGCCATTTTCACCTCTATTAGCTAATGTCTACATAGACAAAACGTCACCTCAGCAGTAAATAGAAATTATGTGGTATTTGGATGATTACCTTGCACTCTGCGTGGATGAAAGACAAAAATTGGACGATTACCATATCTTCCTAAACGACATGGACAAAAGGTAAAATTTACAATGGATGTGAAAAAGAAGATACACTAACCCTCCTTGTATACTAGAGTCATTTTATCTAAGGCGACTCTAAAGAAACGGCTGTTCTGAAATAAACCACATGTGGGAATAATCCTTAATCTCCAGTCTCACCATATTTGCGAAATAAGGATTGGGATACTCATGAGTGTGATCACAAAAAGTCTACGAGTCATCGATTTTGAGTTCTGGGAAGCTGAACTGAAAAAGACTAACTCTGATATCTTTAAAACGGATAACCAGAAGAAAAAATAAAACGCAATATAAGGATAGTGATAGACAGATGGAAGGACTTAAAGTATGAAAGGAAATCAAGGTAAACGAAAGATAAACGATAGATGTCAACTCTCATGCAAATTGGCTCGGAAGCTGCGGCCGATACTGAGCAAATAGAACATTTGAACAACACTGAAGGAAAAGACAAGCCTCTTAATCAGCTTGATTGCACAACAGAGACATCAGCAAAATGTTCCCAAGGTATGAAGACCAAGATAATGGTGTCTTTTGTCTGGTCGCAGTATCCTTTCGTTGTATAGAAGTTGTTTGACTTTATTTTCGCAACTTAGTCATATTGGCAGAAAGACTTAGAGGAACGCCCATCGTCCGGAGCACATTGTATGCATAATCATTTCCAAATTCGAACCGTGGACGTGTAACATTCGCAGATGCTTCGCCGGGATCGTAGTCGGCATCGTCAAAGAGTTTTGACATTAGTAGCACCATATTACGAATCAGAAACAAGTGAATCCGATACTTTGACCAAATGTGTGCTAAACAGTTATGGTATCTCCTCTTCTGCCCTAGCCTATTCACATTTCCTATA